GCTCAAGCACAAACAGTTTTATGACTTAACCAGCTTTGAGGCCAGCCCAAGATATCAGCACTATAAGATGAAAAGCATTCAGTTCATATTCACTCTCATTCTCCTCATTCTCATATTCTCCCCCCCTCCCCCCACCTCTCTCTCTCTCCCTCTCTCTCACCCCCTCCCTACCTCCCCTCTCAATACCCTTCCCCTACTCTAGATTACAGGCATGTAACACTACACCCAGGTTATGCAGTGAAGGGGATTGAACCCAGGGATCTGTGCATGCTAGGCAAGCACTCTACAACCAAGTTGCACATGCAGCATTTAGGTCTCAATTAAAAAATATATATTTTATTTATTATTTTTATGTGTATGTGTGTATTGCCTGCATGTAGGTAAGTGCACCCATGTCATGCAGTGCCTGCCGAGGACAGGAGAGACTGTCGGATCCCCTGGAACTGGAGTTACGGACAGTTGTTAGCTGCCATGTGGGTGCTGGGATTTGAACCCGTCTGCAAAAACAGTGTTCCTAACTGCTGAGCTATCTCTACAGCCCCAGGTCTCAATTTTTCTTAGGCAAACTTTATCCTAAAGCTCTAGACTGTATGCTTATGTTGTCAAATGCTACAGCAAACTCATTCGTATCATAAAATTAGCTTCAGTTACTTATAATTTTTTGTTCATTACAGGCTTCTTTGAAAGAACTCTAGTTTGCATTTCCAAATCTAAAAGAGTATGTGCTATAATTTGTGTACTTAGCATTCAACAAATAGTAAAAGAATGAACAGAAATGCCATGGGTTGTCTCTTTAGAAAGCTTAAGAGTTTAAAGGAATATAAAAACTACAGGCAGAAGTACACCACATTTATCATGAGATATATAGACGAGGTGGGAGCTATCTCCGACTTGGAGAAGTGGCTGAGGATGACCTTCTAAGGGCAATGTGAGAAACTACATCTGAGCTGAAACAATGACGGCACTCAGCACATGCCACTCCAAAACACAGCATAAGCACACTGAATATTTTAGGATAGAGGAATTTCAGAAACAACTGCAGGAAATGACCTCAAGTGAGAAGTGAACTCCTAGTAAGAAGAAAAGAACATCTTCATCTCTTAAGATGAGAGACACTGAATTTAATCTGAACAAAGAAGCCTTGTCAAGCTTCTCGGTCACTAATCTTAGGCTCAAACATCTCTGTCCTACGACATTTTCCCACTACTTTACACTTTTCAGCAAACATTACATAAAAACGGTCACATAGCTAGGTGTGGTAATGTATACCTTTAATTGCAGTGCCCAGGAGGCAGAGGCAGGCAGATTTCTGTGAGTTGGAGGCCAGCCAGGGCTAGCTACATGGTGAGAGCCTGTGTGGGGAGGGTGGGGGGTGGGGGGGAAGAAGTCACATTAAATAACAGTTGTCATTTGTCAGTTGTTATTTCCAAAAGAAGTCTCTATGCCACATAGTGCTTACAGTAAATACACGTTTTCCTTTCATTAATGTCTTTTGTTACATGAGCCTCGACTTGAACTTACAGAGCAAGAAGAAATAGATCCCCGTATCCTCAACTCTAAGTGGGAACCAGAGGATACAGTTTTCTAAAAACAAGGAAGAGAGAGAAGGAGGGAGAGAGAAGGAGGGGGGGAGGGACGGAGG